AGTTGACACGGAGACAACGACATCCCAATAACGCAGCTAGATAGGCCTATCTAGCTGCGTTATTGGGATGTCGTTTCAACGCCTCGCTCAACCTCCTTCCCCTTTCCATTCACTCCCTCAAAACCATAGAGATTTTTTAAAATATCATATTATATTTACCGTGGAGGTAACACTGATACACTATTATGGTCAAAAAGTGACTATTATTTTTATGAACTAGGTGAACAAGGGTTTAAATCCAACTGACTTAGGAAGGTAATGTTTTTCTCTCTATGTATGTTTTTTCTCAAGTATGTGTGAGTTTGTATGTGTAATTTCTATTGCGATCACCTGTAGCGAAGTCTTAAGCAACGCAATAAAACGGACTCTGTGAATTTGTTCACATTTTCCTTGACTTTTGGCCGTTATCCAAAAACCAGTAACCTTTATTAAGTACAGCCACTGATTTCTTAGCAAACGACACAACGTCCCTATCTAACAATAATTGGATGTTCCCGTTATTTTAAGTGCTAAGCAGGTATTCAATGTTACCTAAGTCCCATAGTGAAGATTCCTCATTCAAATTGTTTACAAAAGGTGCACGGTCACGGAAAGAAAATACGGCATATTTATGCCCGAATTCTTTACACATAACGACTTTCTTTTGTTTGAAGTGTCTTAAAATCATCGCATTGTTAATAGTAAAAAAAATGGTTAGTTATATTTGCGTTAATAAACTAACATTATTTAAAATGACTACAAGTCTAAATTAATAAGAGTTTTCTCTTTTGTCATACGTTCAATGAATTCGACAGAAAATTATTTTTTGTGACTGCAGATACGATAATCCCTGTAGATAAAGATTATAAGTATTTATTTTATGGCATCTATTTTTTTTTCTATTACATAGCTTTAACACACACTACTTTGTGGCGTAGGATGTCAGTCATCATAGCATATTTCCTTCTTTATTAAAAAGCCCCACACTTACGTTTTACATTTTCAAGAAAAACCCTTCACGTGGGAAAGGGACCATAATCAACAAGCTGCCAACATTAAAGAAGCAATGTTATTAGTAAAGGTAATTTTGACATTAGCAATTGAGAATTTGACAAATATACACAATAAAATAAAGTTTTTAAAATTCCATGCGGATGAAGCCGCACGGGTCAGCTAGTAGTTTTATAGTTCCCGTTCGAGTTTATCCTTTTCTCGGCGGTGGAAATTTGCAGGGAAAAGTCGATCTCTGTCATAAAATCAGATTATATAACGATCAACAACACTATAGAAACATTACGTAAAATACAAAAAAAAAGTCAACATTTAAGAAAAAAATAAGAATTATTTGTTTGACCAAACTACGTCTTTTAACTTGGTTGTTGTACTTTGATGTCAAAGACTTTAATCTATACGTCCAGCGTTTCAATGTGTTTTTTGTTTATAAAATTTCATATGCACATTTATCCGACACGGTGAAGGAGGAACAAGGAAAACATTGTGATGCCTCAACATATCGGCGAACAAATTCAAAGATATCTGTGATATCAACCAACCCGCACATGACCAGCGCGATTTGGTTATTCATCCCTAACTTTAAGGTAAGATCCGAGCCTATCAGTGGGGACGTATAGTGAGATGATGATGATGATATAAGCTTATTTATAAGAAAATAACAACTTCCTGTGGACTAATAAACTTTATTGTATTAAAAGCAACCATTATGTAAATAGCATCCGTTTAGATATAAACGACTGATATTCGTTCATCTAAGCATATAAATTATGTCTTTTAAGTTAATCTTTGTATTATAATAACATAATTTATTACAACCTCTAATGAGAGGAGAAATTTTATCAGCCCTCGTTCACGGCCATGACGTAATATCGTAAGGACAATCTAATAAAATGTCCTTAGTTGAAATTGCACGATTCACGGAATGGATACGTTTTGGAGGTTGCAGACATTTATTTGTAACTGACGTAAGCCTATGTTTATAAGATTTGAACGCATTAATCGTGCGAAAATGACGATTATTCCACACGTAAGCTATATTTTACCAACGTACGTAGTACGTATATCATATTTCCATCGCTCTCATCCTCTTTGGAATTAACAAAGATAAGATTAATGCATAATGTCAATTCACGCTAACGTTAAATATTCTGAAAAAGATATTATCTAATTACTAACAGTAAATACAAACAAAAAACCAACTTAAATAGAAATTATAATTTTATGAAAAATTCCTTTGAAATAACAAAATGTAAATCTAAACAACATCAAGTAGAAGAACAAGCATTGAGCATGTTTTGTGTAGCCTTATCTTAGTGGGACGGAGTCCAGATATTCAATATTTTTCGAGAAAAAATACAAAGAACTAATGACATGAAGCTGAAATAAATTAACCTTCTCATAATAAACGAATAAATTAGATAAAGGGAATCCGGAATTGAATCTTCCTTTGTTAATAAAAATGTGTACTTTTTCGTAATGCAATTAATTGTCCAAGTTCACTGACGAATGTACTTTTTATCTTAGGTGCATTTTTTTTAATTAAATGTTAATTACGTGTCTTTCAAAAGTATTAAGAAATGTGAAGTTTTTCGCTTGTTAATTTTTATTATACTTCTAATAAGTGTAATAAGTATTTAATATAATTAACAAAAATCGAATCAGCAATAAAGAAGATAGAGAAAAAACTTGAGCTAGGAGATAGGAGACCACAAATCCAAATGCAGTTGACAAGTAAGAAGAAAGAATCAAAACATAAACCGCCCCTTCTTGTCGCGCATAGTCTTATCAATCCCATGAAGGCAAGGATAGATTTCTATCAATACTATGTATTACGTGTCTGTTCCACTTGAAGAAAGGCATTTTTTTTAAATAATTTGCGGATGTCCATTGGCGTCGTTGACCACCTCTGTTTTCCCACCGCTCATTTGCCATCTCCTCTTATAAAAAAAAGACAAATTGATTACTTATAATTCGTTTCGAATACGAAGTAATTCCAATTAGAAGCGATTCTTAAAGATCTTCATAGGGCAGTGGATAGATTATTTAAATGAGATATATGAAAAAGTAGACATCACATCATAAGAGAAGTTAAACCTAATTAAGAGTCAGTTGTAGATTTTAAAGCAGCAATAGTTGCTGACTGAATGTCCTATACAACTGATGTGTTACAACCATAACAGAGGAAAACTCCGTGCATTTATTGAAAGATACAAATAACTGCCTATTGGTATCTCAAAGACGAATTGTCAATCTTGTGTAATTAAAAAGTCAGGGTTGAGTCTATCAGTTCTAATTCGAATTAACGAAAAACTTTGTAATTAAGTGCATAAGATCTAAGGTGACAAATTTGAACAAACCAGGACAATAGCTAGTTACATAACACTGTTCATCAATTTATTATTATTTATTTATTACAAAGTAGGTATGTACTATAGTATTATTGTTGCTATCTTCTCGGATTTGTAGCTCCATAAATGGAGTTTTTCAGATATGCATATAGATTGACAATTTGATAACGTGGAAATTGTGAGAAAAAACGTGAAAATTGTCGAAACTTTTGGAAAATCGCCAAGAAAACTTCGGAGTAACATTTTTTTTAATCAGATCTCAGATTCCTAATATTTTTAAATAATAAGAAATATTTCCAAAGGCAATATCTGAGCATCTTATTAGATATGAACGAAATATAAATGATTGCATCGATGTTAACTACTATTTTATTCGTGGAATGAAATTACAAAACAAAGTAGAATAAGGAAATAGTCAGAGAATGCTTTGAAAGTCACAGGCAACAGCTAGTTAATTCCCACATTGTACGACTTTATTGAGGGTCGGTACCTAAGGGGTTAACTTGAAATGTAATTTGTAGGTCCTAGGTATGAATCAACTCGAACTGGACTTGTGTGGTTGACTATGGCCTAGTCACCCCCAACTTAATAAGCTCCCTGTCCCTCAGTGGCCACAAATAGTGAGCTGATATAGACGACATTGTTTATTTCTTTCTTCACATGAATTAAACGAATCCAGGTATATCTCTTGTAACTACGGAAGAACTTTTATGATTTTTGTGATTGAACTTCCTAGCATCCTCCCTGTACCGCAGTAAGTTATATTCCCACTTCTGGATATACTAGTTACATAATTAAACTTCATATAAAGAAAATTGGGGCGCGGGGATGACGACGGAGACGAAGGCGGCGGCGGAGGTGGTAGAGCGAGGACGGGGCGACGGGGTGGCGGGGCGGCATTCGGAGGCGGTGAGGGCGCAGGGTGCAGCGGCGCTGCTCCGGCGCAACATAAAGTGCCCCCCGCTCCGCGCGGCTTCAGTGCCTCCCGAGACCCGCGACTGTTAACACGCTTTCGCGACTCACTGCCGCACTACACCGCTGACGCTGAGCCGCAACACGCGATTGTGTACACTTGTGAGCAAGGCGCGCGCCCTTTCTCTCACGCAGTGTGATCGTGCTTCGGTACGTGAATGCAAAACCGGACTGCTCTCTTGGCAAGAGACAACGAAAAGGAATCTACCGCCGTGCGGGACTCTGAAGTATTTCAACGGGTGAGTTTGATATTTTTAATTTTTTAACAGCCTCAGCGACTGCATTTTGCCTCTGCGAGCGTTAGAAGAAAATATGAAAGGGCTTTAGTGTGGACTTCATGAAAACCTGCAAGGAATCCAACTTGCGGTCTACGTCGGGTGATAGTGATGGGAGGGATGAATTAAATATTTCAACCATGCAGCCGCCTCTTATACTTAAACGTTCCCTTCGACGGGTTAGAACTGCGCGCCGAACGAAGCGGTGCTCTTAAGGTGAACAGCTCTACGGTATTTGTAAATATTGAGACTCGATGTGGATAATTCACTTCTACGTCGAGTTTGCGAGAAAAAAAAACGCGTTCACGTTTTATTTTTATTTTCGTAGTATTGTACGTTTGAAACATTTGAACGTCCCATATCGATGTCACAGTGAAATGTGGCTGGCGATTCGACGCGTATGTTTGGTTCTTTTGTTCAAGTATTATTCACTGCGAGTGGCACGAAACACAAAAACCCATTATAACAGCAATGTATTCGCCGTCAGTTTGTTGGGTAACAACTGAAATATTGCCGTCGAGCGCGTCGGGCCCGCTCGTCCGTCACTAAACAACTCGTCGATCGTCGCTTATAGGATTCTGTTACACGTTAATCAAAACACAACTTTCTTTTTCACAGAAAGTAAACAGAATGCGACGTCGTCCGATACATTTTCAAAGTTTACCTTGCTCGACAATCGGTCATATGATATTATGACCCGTATAAACAACATTATTGTAACGAAGAACAATGTTATTGTGGACATAGGAAACAAGTCCAAGTGATTGTGCCCGCTCCTATTATCAGTACACGTGTACATACATAACTTACATAGATATAAGGTCCAAATTCTTTCATTAAATTCGTCTGCTCATTTCGTTATTGAGGTGACTTTTTTGTATATTACCTACCCACGTTTACCATCTAATCGACGTATTAATTAATAGCATGTGCTCATTAGATACTTTCAAAGAGATAATGGCTTTTAACTTGACGATAAGTGCAGTCAAAGAGCTACTTAGCAATGTTTAAATAGAAAAAATGCCCGTAAACACGTTCTCTTAAGTAAACATTAACATTTCTACTCTTTTGAAATTTTAACGGGATAAAATTAACGGGTTAACATAAAAGACATTTAATTTAATATCATATTTTAATGCTGGATGAATATAAATTTGAAACATTTTAAGTTTACATTTAGTCACATAGTGTACGTAGTTCCTTTATTATAACTATGTTTTGGTGCAGTGATGACTCCCTTATTATTTAGAGGGTTATTTAAAAAATGAAGTATGTTTAAAAATGTTAATTTCGATTTAAAATTATTTTACACGTTTTCGCGACCGACAAAATACTTTTTTCTTACGATATTCTTTTTATACGAGATTATTTTGATCAGACTTTTGATGTTAATTTGACATTGGTATGAACAAAGTATAATCAAGTATTTAGTATAAAAAAAAATGTTGCTTAATCTTGAAGACAGCTTAAGTGGCTTTTTTGTACTCGATCAAGTATTAATTCTTACAATAAAAAGCAGCACTTTGTTGATACATGACGAGTAATTATTCAATTATCTGCTATAAACAAGGACTGGAACAATTTCTGTATCTCAGTGGTTTTCCTCCTTCATTACTATTTAGGTTCCGTAGAGTAGTCACCTTTTACATTCAATTGATGTGACCGTTAAATAGTGAAAACCGCCTGTTTGTGCTTTGCTTAGCCAAACTTATAAAGTGTAATGTAAATTGTCACTGAAAAGAATTAGTACACGTCACATTATTCTGCATCTATTTTGACAAACTGTAAGGTAACATTGGCATCATTAATTGTCATTTCTGTACAGCCAATAAAGAGTCAACGATGAGCACGCCAAACTTTAAAATTTTAAACTTAAAATTGCTGTTTTTCCATGATATCTGGGATAGTTAAAAATGGGCGGCATTCGCGATAAGTTAGTGACAGTTTTAATTTTTTTTCGAACTAGCGTAGGGATTCTTTGCGTGACTGTATGTATGTTCATTCTTTTATTGTGGAGTCCTAGAATTAAAAACCTAGACCGATGTTGGATGTTAGATGTTCGTGTTTCTTTGACTCATGTGCTTCTGTGGAGTGTTTAGGGTGAATTCAGTAGGGCTGGTTTATTAAATTATACTGTTTTTTCTCAAGGTTAACTCTCATATTTTCTTAGTATGTACTTAATTCTTACATTGTAAACATACAAGTGAATAAACTAATGCTAAGTGTAACTGACATCAATCGGTTATCACAAACTGGTCTAAATGGCGAATCATTCAAATATTTTGCCAATTTTTAATGCAATAATATATATAACATCATAATTATTTTGTAAAATACTTCATACAAATTTCGAATGCAGAGATTTTTGTCTTCGTTAATTCTTTCCATTAAAATATTTGTTGATAAAACATGTAAATATTGAATAAAGTCATTAAAACTGTTGAGATACGCGACTTCTGCTCAAGCAACAAAACCCAATTAAGTAGTTACTAGCCCTTGTTATCTTTATTACCTAAGCTGTAAGTTCCCAGAAGTTTAAAAACTAAAATTACTTTTATAACTTGATAGATAAGTTGTTCCTGATTCATAAAAAATCATTTATGAGTTACGTGTTACTTATTATGGCATTATTATTTCCATTGATTGATTATACAATATTTTTCCTTTTAATCTGATCTAGGAGTATATATAAAGAGTATATATATAAATATAAATAATATATATATAAAAAT